GGTCTGCCTAGCAAATCTGGGAGGCTCTTGTCTGCATAGCAGAGGCTCATGGCGTCCGGGGGTTCCCTCCGTTAGGTCTATTTAGTGCATTTGTATTCTTCTCCCCCTATACCTCCCCCCCCCTTTAAAATGAGAGGGTTATTTAAAATTAGGTCTATAAAGCCCATATGCTTCCTTCTAACCCTATACCTCCCCCCCCCCTTTAAAAAATTATCTTTGTTTACACAATTTTACATAATTCTACTTTGTTACAGGGAAGTAAGGAGTGGCATTGCTTTGTCATGCATTTACAAGCTGCAGGGTGTCTCAATAAAAGAGTTAAGTAATGACTTTTAGATCTGTTTCAATCTGTACGCGACATTTATTATGAAACAAAGCTCTCTCTTTGTCATAATTAATCTCAAACTTTTTTTAAAACTGACCGGGATTTGTTTACAATTTGTCCAAATTTCAATTCATTAAAGTGAGTGCAGTATCTATATAGATAAAGTAGTAATCTCTTTTTCTGTCTTTTTATTTATATTTCTGAACAAACCTCATGAACCCCTGGACCGATTTGCTTCAAATTTTGATCGGAAATTCGTATCAAATATTAACTGTATTCCGCAGATTTCCGTGAATTACATTGCATATTATCACATTTGCAAAAATCTGGAAATACATTTATAAAAGAAAATAATTTAAAGAAAAAATAGCTTCCACTGATTTATTAATCATTTCTTTAAGAATCATATTAATTCATAGCAGAACTGTTTTAGTACTTTTCGTTGTAGGATTGATAAATAATTGTATGAATATTGTTTGCATCAAGTGAGTCCTAATTTTCAATTCTTTATTTGTCCATAACATGTTCAAGTAAAACAAATTTTTATGATTTTTACATTTTTGAATTCAGTGTTTCAAGACTGATTTTTTGGTACCCATATCGAACATAATTTGATGAAAAAATATTTTCGCTTGCACAAGTGAATTACTATGTACAAAAATTTAAAAGTGAGAAAAAAAATTAATTTTTTGTTCTGCTTTTTTACTATAGAAACTTTTTTAAGACACATGCTGAAAAGATCTGGATATTTTTTATCAAAAAAGTGACAAATGGTTCCACCCAAGGTACTAATGCAAGGAAAGTTAATTGCGGTCGCGTATACTCTGCGTACATATTAAAACCAGTTCTCTCTGGGCGGAATTTGTAAACAAGAATAGATGCATTTGTATTCGTCTGGTATCCGAGGAGGATAAAAGTATTTAATTTTGATAATTTTGATAATTCACATAATAGTTTCCAATGACCAAAATATTTCATTGATTTATTCCATGTCAGGTTGTGACATCCGTCTTGTGTTTACTTTTCCGCCCAAGGACAGTAAACTGCAGTACAAAAAATGCGCACACCTCTAAAATAACTTTCCTTGCATTAATAACTTGGTTCCACCCATAATAATACTGCGTTTCCATGTTTGGACACCCAGTATGTTGCGTGTTACATTGTTTTTGTTTTATATTTTAACTTTTGTGTATTTTGCCTAACCTCCAATATTTATACAGAAAAGCACTAAATTATTTATAGACAATTGGAAACGGTCTTTTTTCCGTATAAGCATGAGAAATATAAATTTATTTTAGCTGAAATTATATGATATCTTTAGCTCACTATTTGCAGAATTAGACAAATTGAAAATGATAAACTGTACAAAAACCATTAATAATGTTTTACACACAGATATGTTTTTTTTACTCCTAAAAGTAACTGAGCATAATCGATAATAGTAAAAAGTTTAGAAGTTTTAAGTTTAACACAAAATACAAATCGTTTATTTCTTATTGGGCCTGAGCTGGGAACTTTTGAATTGTGGATATCGGGATTAATGCTTGATCCACTCTTTTTCTTAATCTCGAGATTATATAATGCTTATTCTCCTCTTGTTATTAATCTCCAGATTAATTAACTGAACGGGATTAAAAATATCCCATTCAAAAGTTTTCAGCTCCGGTTACATAAGTTTTGTTATTGTGTAACCTAGGCCCATTATTTACACAATTTGCAGAGAAAGTGGGGAAAGGTTATGGGAAGGGGGAGTACTGGCCGGGGG